ATAATAAAGTTTCATGAAATGTAGAGTTAAATCAGATACAACGGTATAAATCTGATTAGACAAGGTTGATGCTAATGCTAGAAGAGTTAATTAATTATTTGAAGAAATCTAAAAAATATATATAAATAAAACTATACTATATTTATATTTTTTGTTTTTAAGCATATACCTAACTGTTAGATGTGTAAATGTAAAGAAAATTTTACTAGAAAAAATGCCACGCGGACCAGGCAGCAGACAGTACTCGAACCCGCACCCTTCGCTATCCGGGCGAATGCACTGACCAATTATGCTACCTTGCAGCTTAAGAAAGGCTATGGAAAATTCGACACGGCCTTTAGGGCCGCGGTAGCATATTGGTCAGTGCATCCGCCCGGATAGTTGAGGGTGCGGGCTCGAGTCCCGTCTACTGCGTGGTCCACGTGGATTTTTTCTAGTAAAAAAATATATATTTATATTACGACATAACTTTTAATTTATTCAGAACTAAGTTTTTAAAAAAATAGTTAACGATGATACGATGTAAACGAGATAAAAAGAGTGCATTTATAAAAAACGCTTTATCTCTTTTCATGTGTGGTAAAAATATAGAATTTTTAAGTTAAAAGGACGGCACACAAGTGTAAGGCCCGCCTGATGGCACGCGGCCACCTTAAGCTATAGACGCTTGGATAGCAAAAATATTACACAGTTGCCTACCCTGACCCAAACCTCGTGGAGTCCTGGAACCATATTCGTGTTGTGTTTAGACAGAAACACAACACTAGGTAACACACACCAAAAGGTAGTGTTATTTTACTGTGATGTTCTGTACGGTGTAGGTTACTTCGGCAAAGCCGCTAATATCTCTCTTACGTGTAGGGTTACTATTTAAATTTTTGAAAAGACCGGACACGAAGCCGGACATTTCGATAAAAGTCCGGACATTTTAGTCACAAAATGCAAACATCTCCCACTTAGTTACAATGATATTATACGCGTAGCAGACGCTCGCATCGGGAGGGGGGTCTCATTGTTGATTTATATTATGTTTTAAATTAATGAGAACTTAATAAAGAGTATTTGACTTATTTGATATAACTTGAAAGTAGTTTTACTCATATTCTATCTAATTAATAAAAAATCCGGACAAATTAAAAAGATGGTCATAGTCCGGACGAAAGGCAAAAAGTCCGGACATTATTATTTATGATAAGTCCAGAATAACTGTAAAGCATAGAAAAAAAAGACATGTACAACCTTGGATAGATCAACATATTAAATTTATGGTTGACAGAAGGGATGAGTTGTTTAGAAAGTGGAAAAGCTGCCCGAAAAATATGATATACAGATTGGAATATACACGATTTAGGAACAGGACAAATAAAGTAATTAACAATGCAAAAAACAAATTTAGACAAACGGAGTTAAAAAATTGTGAGGGGGATTTTAGAAAAATATGGAGAAAGATAAATAGTTGGTTAGGAAAAGATTCAATTAATTTAGATGGTGTTCTGATGAAGTACTTGGGGAAAAAACACAGTTTGGATGACATATGTGCTAACTTTGCTATGACGTTTACAGGTGAAATAAATAAAATAAAACACAGATGTAATACAACTTTCTTAAAACGAGAAACCTATGTAAAGCCGAGTAATGTAACTTTTTACTTAAATCAAATCAAAAGATCCATTGATAAATTAAGCACCACTAAATCTCCAGGATTGGATGGAATAAGACCACAGAATCTAAAACAAGTCAATGATAGTATAAGTCCCGTCATGGCGAAGTTTGTAAATATGTGCATTGAGAAAGGAACTTAGCCAGAAAACTTGAAAAAGGCAATAATACGACCCGTTTTTAAAAATGGAGACCATCTCAATTATTCTAATTACAGACCTATTGTTATTCTGTCAACCATAAATAAAATAGTAGAGAAAGTAATAATAAAAAAAATAAGTGATATTTTTTGGAAAAGAATAACATTATTACTGACGCACAACATGGCTTCAGGAAGTCACATAGTACATGTACCGCTTTAAATACATTTACTGATAATATTAATGTAAATCTAAATGATAAAAAATATGTAGTTCTTCTCTTTCTAGATTTTAAAAAAGCGTTTGATACGCTGGTTCACGATCTTCTACTCACCGCCATGCATGAGTGTGGGATTCGTGGTCCAGTCAACATGTGGTTGAAAAGCTACCTTAAAAATAGGACTCTGTGCACAAAAATATATAATACTATAGGTAAGGAAGCAAGTGTAACATCTGGTGTACCTACCGGTTCAGTGTTCGCTCCGGTTGGCTACATCATGCACGTGAATAGCATGGTAAATGTAATAAAACATTCTAAAGTATATATGTATGCAGATGACACGTGCATGATGTATGCTGACAGAGATATGGCGAACATAGAACAGAAAGTTCAAGAGGATTTTAATAATGTAATAAAATGGTCTCATGATAATGGAATCATTCTGAATTTAGAAAAAACAAAATGTATGCGTAAAAAGGCCACGAATATTAATATAATAGGACATTCTTATGATTGTATGCATAGAAAAAATGAAGACTGTCTTGATTGTCAAGTAATCGAATTTGTAAGTAGCTATAGATATCTTGGACTGACAATAGATTGTAAATTTAGTTGGAAATTGCATATTGAAATAGTCTGCAACAAGTTAAGATCAATACTATGCAAGTTTATAAACCTTAGCTATGTACTTGACAGGCCTACGTTATGTATGCTTTACCATGCGCTAGCGGACGCTGTGCTTAGTTATGGTTTAGCGGCTTACGGGCGCACGTTTCATTCGTATATTGATGAAGTACATTGTTTGCAAGTAAGATTTTTAAAACTACTAGTATCTAAACATGTTAAACATAACTTGAACAAGTGTTATGACAAGCAGTTTGTTAAGTGTAAAATTTTGCCAATTCATGAAAAAATTAAGTACCTTTGTGTGGATCAATTAAATTCGGAATTTAGTTTGTTGAAACCAAAAATTATAAATCTTAACCTAAGAATTGCACTTCGTAAACAATTTGACGAACCGGGTGTACAAAATTATTATGGAAGGAGAACCCGGGAGTATTTAGTTCCACGAATATTCAATAGCTTGGATATGGAGGACTGTACTAGCGTATTAGGTTTCAAATGTAAAGTAAAACAAATCCTGTTAGAAAAATTTGATAAGCAAATCACAACTGTTTATTAACATACATTTTGAATGTAGCATGTACTTACTCTATCACTCTTGTTACTTTAAACAAATTGTAATTTATTTATTTTATTATTAGAAGTTATTTTCAACATTACTTGTGGCATTGGTATGTTAGGATAGGAGTATATGTAATAAATGTCCAAACTAAATTAGATAAAAATATAGGCATTGTTTGGTAGAAATATTTAAATCGATTTATGATTAAAAATGAGTGCATTTTTCGCCAATAAACTGTTAATCAGTTTGGCGAAATTATAAAGTGTAGTTAATAGTGTTATAGTATAGTTGATAAATAAATTAAAAAAAAAAAAGTTTATCCTAGAGTATGCGTATTTATATCAGGATCAACTAGTTTGGCCTAGGCTAAACTGGTTTATCCTATTGGGCTTAGGACAAATTAGTTTGGACTAGGCTATACTAGTTGGTCCTATCGCGTATAGGAAGAAGTAGTTTAGCCTAGGCAAAACTAGTTTGTCCTGAAATCGGGTTTGGCCGGTAACATATACAAGTGGTTCTTGTTAGTTATATTTTTTTGTCGTTTTTATAATTTCTAAAACCTGTACTAAGAACCTACTATTAAATCTATTGTATTTGTAATTAAGATTCGAAAAACTACTTATGTAATTTAACAAATTTAATTAAAAGTTTTATTAGTAACTAAAGACATTTACATATAATCCTTATTTAAAATCAAAATGATATTCAATGTTATCTAATTCGAAGATTTATTTATTCCTAAAGGAAAAGTCATAAAGGTTGAGACGAATCAGAAATATTCCGGCTGTTGTCCCGAATTCGTTATAAGGTCGGCCCATTACCTCAACGCAAGTCAAATCCGAAAGAATTGATGGAATCAAACGGGAAAGTTGGTGTAATATTTTAAATTGGAATTTGAAGAGGCAGGAAATTACAATAAAATGACGTCGGGGCTTTTTGTTTGTTAGACACCCGTTTGAACTGATTCAGTAATGATTTGATTTCGTTTGGTATAAGGTTTGATAAATTAAGTGTAATCGTAAATACTATACAAATCGTATTAACGAAATGAACGCCTGATTGAACGAACGATCCTGATTGTTGCTTTGTAAATTAAAGTATACTTCATTTAATAGGTACTTTGTGTCTCCTTAATGTCAGATAGTACTCATATTATAACTGTAGTAAATTTATTAGATTTAGTAATTAATATGTAACTTCTGGACATGCCCATATGATAGTTGTCTTATATATCACTTTATGCCCAGCCACGATTTTTAGCACATTCGCCGGCACGGATAAATCCATAACTTTTTCACTGAAGACTTTGGTCTGTGACGTACTTGTAACATATTAGTACGTTTTCTCTCAGCGTTCGGCGTGTAGCTCTAAACCGTTGCTCATAGCGGCAAGATTGTGGCCGAGCCATAGAATAATAATTTACATGTAACTAATGGTCAAATAGAAATTCTTTGGCTAGATCGGTACGTATTCTAATCAAAGCACAGTCAAACGCGTAGTTTTAGCGTAGAAAGACAGTAAATCATAGTTTGTTCCGCTTTTTTCAAAGTTGTCTAATATTTGGTAGTACTTTGTTTACATTTCAAATTTTTGGACACTGATAACCCTTAAAAAGAAAAACTTCAATTGTTACAAATGTTGATAGTTTTAACATTGAGTTATCGAGCTTTAAACGTATTTTTAACTAGGACGAACGGATATTGTTGCTATTGTAGCATTCCTTATATGTAAATTATTATTTTTAGAACCGAGCCGTTAGCTGTCCCTCTCTGTCTAGTTAGCTCTTTGTACTAACCTGGTAATCTCCCTTGGTGGAACAGCTGAGCGTGACGCCTGTGTCGTTTGTAAACTCAACGTGGTGAGGCGGCTCCGTGATGCCCTGTCTACGTGGCTCCGGAGATGCTCCCACTACTGAAACAAATGAAAACACCACTCTATTAGTTTTTAATTCTTATACACGTCTGTCAAAAAAGAAGTGTCATATTATTATATTTTTTATTAAAGCATTAAACTGGTAAATGTTGAAGTCCCGTCTGAAATCTGGACCGACTGGAAATTTTCTAGTTAAATTTTCTATAGATTTCAGTAGTGGAATGTTTTCAGAGTTCATGTATGTATGTTTGTGTATGTGTCTCTTTTTTTCCATCCTCATTTCTAAATTCCTGAATAGATTTTAAAGTATCGGTAAAATATGAAGGGTATTGATAAAATTCTTACACTATGATGTGAAGCACTGACCTGACCATTTTGTTTTAATTATAGATGGTGATGGAATTTTCTTTACATTATATAATCTTTTGTTACAAGTAATTAACACTAAAAGCATGCAATAAAACATAATAATTAAAAATTTTGAAAACACGCATATGCTAACAAATATTTATTAAAATAAAAATAAAATAAAGTTTATTGCAGTCTGGGGACCTGTTGCTAGATTATAGCAACTATCAAAGAACTGACAATACTAGTTATTAACAATAACTTTGTGAATAAGCAAGAAAAACAAAGTATCTTTAATCGCAAAAAAAATTATTTTCACAAATTTAGTTCCTGATTCAATTTAAAATTGGTAAAAATATAGAAAAGTTAATATCTGAATTAATAATAACAATAAATCTTTATTCAGTATTAATTTTTACATAGAATTGACTTAGTTCTAAGAAAAAAACGCAAACGTGAAGAAAATCACGAAGTCTGAACTAGGAATAACCTGTGTTTCAGGAAAAAAGATCTTAACAACTTTGAATAATCAATCGCATAATAAAATAGTAACACAAATACTAAATCTACATAATATTATTCAGTAGGTATGTACATGCAAAATTTCATGTTATCGAAGAGTTGTAAACTGGGTCAATACCGCTTATTTTATATTTATTCGTATTTATTTGACATACCTATTGGCGTCCGTATTATATATGTTATAATTTACAATTCTGTCAAATTAAAATAAAATAGAAGACAAGTTCCAAAATATAACTAACAGGTGGAGCTCTCAAGCGCCTTCATAATCTATGGAGTATACATAGCGTTTTTCGGATCTTTTTCGCAGGACAGTCAGCATCACCAGTTTTATGATTGCATGGCTTTTTGAAATGCAAACATGTTGCACATTTTGGTGGTTCGGCTTTCTTCGAGCACTCTTTAACGGCGTGACCCAATTCAACGCAGTGACCGCAGGTATTGTTCTCTTCTGGACATGTTTTGGCTGCGTGACCGTACTGCTGACACCAGCAGCACCTAGTTTATATACACTCTTTCTTTATTTATGAGGGCCTACTGTACGTTTGCTGGAACTTCTATAATATAATTGTAGCATTCGGCATCCCTTTTTCCCGACTTATGGCTTAGTTTGATAGAGGATATAAATGAGTCAAGTTTTATATCTTTAAGTAGTAAGCTTATGTAAATAAATCGGCTGTTCTATAGCTGCTGGTACTTCAATAAGGACAATTCTGGCCTCCGTTTAAATGTGTCGCTCACAGTGAGGCCAGAGGAAGTAAGTTGCGTCGACTGCTTAAGCTTCTCGTTATCATCCATGGTCTCAGTGTTAATGATCACACCACCATTTATCGTCTTGCGTGTCTACGCAAGGGTCTCCTTGATGTGCAGTTTCATCTGTTCAGGTTTGATAATTTTCTGGACAAGGGACTTGGTTACTTTTAAATTGACCAGACTGGAAATCGTTATCGGCGGGACATTATAAGCAGCGTCCAATACTACTAAGTAACTCTCATTAGAATATTAATTTAACTCATAATATAGTTAAAAATTCGAGTGCTAAAATTAGCGTTCGAAATTTTGGATTAGTTCTATCGTAATCTCATCGTAATGAATTATGACGTAATGACGAACTTCGTGTCTATAGATGCTAGACGATAGCTTGATTGGAGATTCTTGACACGCATAAAAGAGGTTGTGTTAGACGATTTTGTATGTGCAGCTAAAGGTGTGTACTTACAATGGTACTAATTAAAATTTTAAACAAAAGCATTGTCGCGCAGGTGTGAGGGAAGCATGAATGTGCACGATTATAGGTTTTTGACAGGTCTCTTTCTAATATTGAAAAAAAAAATCATTGAAAAATAACATTCCTATTGTAATAACAGTTTGATTTAATAATATGTGAAATATCTACTTTAGATTGCTTTGCACTTGTTATGGACTTAATCAGACCAAGAAATATTGCGCAAGATACGTTTTAAATCAATAAAACATTTTTTCCTTGGAAAAAAAAAACAAAATCAACATAATTATTGTTGACGATAAAAGCATTTTATTGGCAAGTCAATGATGTTGTGTGTGTTTATAGTCAGCTGTCTGTTTTTTTAATGGAAATTATTTTAAATTAATGATTAGTGAGTATAACATGAATAGTGTGACGGATTGTCTAAAAATAGACAATCCTTTCATTAAATTTTGTGACATCCTAAGTGACATCCATTTATGCCACAAAAAATATTCATCTCAATTAAGAAAAAAGCATAAAAAATACGAAAGAATTTAACTGAATATGGAATAGGGATTTTAATGAAGCAGATCTGTTATTTTGTTAATCTATTAGATTCCGCCGCAACAGACCGCAGACGAGACAATCGGTATTGGCCGTAGCGTAGTTATCTTGCAGGCGGGCCAGCCGCAAGCCGCAGAGTTCGATTTCCGTTTCATTTTGCGGAGTAACTAGGCCCAAGTATCGACATTATAATAGGAAATGAATATAGAAATCCCTTAGTGTAATAACGGTTTTTTTTTATGTTTCAGTGCAAATTGTTTAATAATGCGGGCACTTTACATGGCTATTCGTGATTAGATTTAGCGACGTTGTACACTTTTTTGTAATGCGTAAAAACTCTTACACTGCGAGAGACTGCTGTCAAGTTTACAAATACTGAATACGATTTTCAATGCCGGATTCGAGGAGATGATCCTCCACAGGTTCAAGTGGTTTAGAATTCTGCCTGGAATATTTCTACAGTCACTGGCCAATTATCGGCTTCAGTTTACTGTAAAGGTTAAACGCGACCAACAGTATACACTCTTTAAAAAAATCGAGGAGATGAGAGCCACGGCCATTTTAATATCACTCACCTAGGAGAAAGTACTTCCCTTAAGACATTCATACATGAATTTTTATGATGGTTTTCTAGGCTCCACGAGTTGGGAAATATGGTTAGGTTAGACAACCCACGAGTTATCTTATGGATCGTAAAATACAATTAAGCGAATCATAAGCTTTTGTCTAGTTTGTTACATAAACTAGTGTTAATTAAGGATAAAGAAAAGCGGGGGTTTTTATCTGCATAACAGGATATCGCCTACAATAATGGAGGAAATCATTATCATGTAATAAAATATGATTAAGCTCTATATGCAGGATATATTAGTAAATATATATTTAAAGTGTACATAATAATGAGTAAGGAATTCAATTATTGTGAATGATATGTGATATAAAACATAATATTCACAAGAATTTAATCCTTTTAACTAGATAATATTACACTTCATCGAAGTAGCCGATGTTTCTTTCATTTTCGCTTTCGGAGAAAATTTACTCCGATGCTTCGTAGGTAGGTAGGTAGGTACTAAGTTAATATAAACAAAGAAATAACAGCTCCCTTTCGCTTGAACCGAGACGTTGAGTCCAGAAGCAAAGCCAAGCGTAAAATTAAGTATTGATAGACTGAGAGCGTTCATCCATCTGTTTGCTTCGGTTCATGTTCTATTTTATCTTCAATCCACGCGAAACAGAACATTTCCACAATGACGTTGAAATCTTCCCTTTCACTGATTAACATTATTGTTAGAATAATAAAAGCTGTATATTTTGGACAGAGAATCTTTTCGTTTACCCAACCATGTAATTATAATACCTTCATATTTACATCCCACTATACCAACGCTTCAAGTATTTTTTCTTGCCTATGCCCTTTTTCATTTTTGATAGCTAAGTTAATTATTGACTAAAATAAAACATCTTCAACGTGATACATTTTTGTTTGTTAGACACCTGTATGAACTGATTTTGTAATGATTTGACTTCGTTTAGTGTAAGTTTTGTTATATTAAGTTAACAAATCATAATACTTTAAATTACTGTAACTTTGCACATATATTTCCATTGAAGGACTGTGGTATTTTCATAGATACTAATACGAATAATTAGAAATATAATCTTTTTTCTTCGCCCCGTAAGTATAATGACTTAGTAAAGATACTTGGAACAAGTTTAACGTAGCATGCAACAACAACAACCTAGGTACAACATATTTTTATTGCACATTGTAGACATACAGAAAGTTCTTCTCATCTCTTTTGAAGAATTTCCTAATTTAACTCATTTGCTTAAAACCCAAATAATTAACCAGTTGCATTGCTTAGAAGAGCGTTATATAATGCAAAACCAAAGAGACAAAGCATTCCATATAATGTTCCATTTATCTCAGTACACAGCAATCAATACATGAATAGGGGGATTTGCGATCGAGATGGCTAAATACAGCCGTCAGTATCGTGCTGCACCAATAGAGAGCTCTGATTGGTTCCTTTCAATGCGCTTGCATTTCCAAGAACAGACATTAATCCTTCCTTCCAGTGGATTTATATATAAACCTACTAGTACATATTATATTTCTGCGACTTGATCTTGGTGAATTTCAAATTAAGTACACCCCCAAGGGAATGATAAGGTTATGGTTTAGTTGTGTCGTAATTATCAATACTTTTAATATCCCCTCCTGAGGTATAGATCTTGTCAAGTGTTATACTCTGTTGCCTCTTCACGCTTAAAGGTCAAAGCGATCTGTCGTCTGGGTCAAACCTGATCCTCCCGGCGCCCGATCAGCACCGGCTCGTTGCGCGCCGTCCTCTGGTGGACGCCAGGCTGTCAGACAGCTTACTTCGGGTAGACT